TTAATTAAAATGTTTAGCAATGTTATGAGGTTTTGTCATTTTATTAGTTTTTTATTGAAATATTTCTATATAGCTTTCATTTTTATTTTAGTTTTTTAAATTGATTATTTTGTATTTTTAGTACTTCAGCTTAAACATATTTGATTCAGTTAGCATTTGACAATCAAAATGTGTTACTTGACATAATTTTAAATTTTCATTTAAGTTTGAAAGTTCTTTTTCATTTTAAGTTAATTTTTTCATCTAATATTTTATTAATTTACTTTATTTTATTACCAAAAAACATTTTAGTTTCAGGTAACAATAACAACGTTGATGCAATATGGGTATAGCAGTAAATTAGGATGCAAACAATGCATACATTTGCATTTTCTTTCCAAAAAAAAAAAAGAAAAAGAAAAGTCCTTGGTTACTCCTCCCAAAAAATATGAGCACTCAGAATGTGTGTCAGTGTATCAGTGTTTATTAGTGCTCAGTAGTGGGCTGTTGTCCCTGTCTCTCTCAGGGACATGTAAACACCAGCCACGTCAGTGCTGATGAATGACTTACATTCCGGAAACCTCCACTCTGGAATACAGAGATATGTGCTCGAGTCATGGGACGCGAGGTCTATGTGTGTATATAAATATATATGTCTCTATGAGTTTGTGAAAAACAGGTTTGATCACCCCCCTCCGAGCATCACCGCAGCAACAGACTGGTTATACATCACCTAAAATTAAATCACTATCTCACCAAGATAAATGCCTTCCACGACACCCCCAAACCTAAACTCCCATGTCTCATCTGAAAAAAGAGGGGGAAAAAATGCAATTCCGTTTATTTTTCAGAGGCAGACTAATGTAGCTGTCAGTCGTTGAAAGAGAAAGAGAGGGAATGGGCCGCAGCGTACTGTGTTCAGGGAATGGAACGGCAATGGGTGGCCATCTGATGTCACTATGTGTGTGTGTGTGTGACTGCTTTATCAGAAAGTAAGTTGAAGCGGAGACTGGCATTGATCCTGAAAGAGCGGGTGACCGAGGCAGTGGATCTGATCAGAGAAACCTCCTGGGGCCCTGACCTCAGAGTCGAGCCCAGAGAGAGAAAACACGAGCTGGACGTGCAGTTCAACACTGTGAGGATTTAACGGCATCACATATTTTTAGTACTTCAGCTTAAACATATTTATTTCAGTTAGTATTTTACAGGATGAATCAAAATGTATTAGTATTTAATGGAATGTCTGATTTTCGTTGAAAGTTTGAAAGTTAATTTTCATTTTTTCAAATTAGTTTTTTCATCCAACATGTTATTTGAAAAAATTAAATAAAATACAATATGCTTTAATGTGGGAGTCCTCCAGAATGTTGGTTTCAATGCTGGTTTCAAAATGCTGGTTTCAAAAAGCTGAAATTTACAAAGCTGATTTCAAAAGCTGAAATTTACAAAGAAAATTAATTTAATACTAAAAGTCTTTGCATACTGAGTCTGAAAAATCTCGTCCGAAATTTCCGCACGTTAAAAAATAAATACGACCTCGCGTTGTGTTAATCATGTTTACACACTGCCTCCGAAACTTTCGTCCTTCATTAAAAAAAAAAATTCTGGTCAGGTTCAATTTTCTGTGTTTTCGCATCCGTAGCAAGTATTTTGATAGAAAAGGATGACGAATACAAAACCAACGAAAAAACGCATATGAAAATTTCGGACTCAGTGTGCAAGGACCTTAAACGCTTGACAAAACTTTGCCTGGTAAACTGCTCTGGTAAATCTTTTTGAAAGGTAATCTAGTGTTGATTTTATACGTGGGTTTAAGTGTTAAAACAACCATTAGCCACGATTACAGCAGGTGGTTAACTAATAAAACCCTCCTTACAATGAGCTCTTCGGAAAACAACTCTGAAAGGTTCGCTCTTGACATTAATCTCTGGCAACCTTGAAGGGATTTTTTAATTTCTCCTCTAATTCATATGCTATCAAGTGATCATCTGGACATCTGACATGCCAGTTTTTCCTGACGAGATATAAAAAGGTTACGGCACAACCACAAGCACACACAAGTAGCTTCATCCGTTGCAGACGGTGTTCGCGATCTCAAAGCACACAATGGAGCTCATTGAGGGCTTCCTGGATTAGCATCACATGTCTTATGAACAGAGGGCAGGCATATCTCTGTGATTTCACCCTCAAGACCTGGTTTCTCTTTTTGCTTTGTTTCTACAAAGAGAAGAATAGGTTTAACCATTTATGAAACCTGCATGGCTGGAATAGCAGCAGTCTACGATGAGCTCTGTGTATGCGGGAGTGAACTAGCAG